CCCGACCATCGTCGGTGTCGTCGCCGTCGTCGCCGTCGTCGTTGCCCTCGGGGGTGGCCTTCCTCTCCCCCCCACCCCGGGTCGAATTCCAGGACGGGAGGAGGCCGTTGAAGCCGCGCCCCCCCGCCCAGTGCGAGCCGCCAATTCACACCGGGGGGAAAGGGAAGCTCCCCCCCCCCTCGGTTCCTGGGATCGGCTCCCGAAGAAGGTGGAATGGGGGACTTTGGGCCCCCACTCCTGGCTTCCTGGCGGCCGAAGCCACGGTAGATCGCGCTCTTCCCCCTCGAACTTTTGAAGACGGACGTGCGCGACGCTAGGACGAGAGCCACATTTTGAAAACGAGCAGCCCGCCCTCCATCTCTGAAACGGCTGCAATATTTTAGGACGGATGTGCGCGACGCTAGGACGAGAGCAGCATGTTGAAAACGGCCCCCCGCCCTCCATCCGAGAAGCTGTTGCAACTTTGTAAACGAGTGTGCGCGGCGCTAGGGCCAGAGCCACATGTCGAAAACGACCCGCCCTACATCGGTGAAGTTGCTGAAGATTTCAAGCTTCAGGATCATACATGTTGAGACAGTCTACGGCGAAGCGTCCCGCACACCCCACCGACTCGTCAATGGGGGGCGGCGACTGGGATCAGTTATCTAGAGTGAAGAGGGCTGGAGGAGTAATGGGAGGAGGAGGAGAGGAGAAGGAGAGGAGGAGGAGGAGGAGGAGGAGGAGGAGGAGGAGGAGGAGGAGGAGGAGGAGGAGTGGGTGTGAAAGGGCGGATGCGCTCCGCCGCGCCTCCGTGGGCCGCCCAGGGCGTGACGGTGCCCGCGCGGACCGCTCCGGAGCACCGCGGGCGGCGGGCCGCCGGCGCGCACGGGGCCGCGCCGCCCGCCGCGGCGTACGGGGCCGCGCCGTCCGCCGCCGCAGTGTGGAGGGAGCAGGAGCCGTGGGAGGTCCGCCGCCTGGCTCGAAACGCTTGTTCCCGTGCATCCTGAGATGGGGCTCTCGTGATTGTATCGGGGGAGCGTAAGACCCGGGTTTGCCAGGACTCGGGTTCGCCATCGTTTTTTGACGACCGCGACTCGGATTTTGAGTTTCGTGGGATGTTTGCAGCGGGAGGCCTCGTCAAAATGCAGGCTCGGCCTCGTCATTTTTTTGACGACCTCGTCGGGGATTTCCGAGTCCCCCGTACCCGGGTCTTACGTCTCCCCGATTGTAGTGGCCATCGGCCAGTGCCGCCGATCCGGGTCGCTCGGGGTGCCCCCCCAGACTGGGCGGCGAGGCTTCGCCGACAGACACGCACGCATACGCTCTCGCAGACATGACGCGCACATCCTGAGATGGGGTCTCTCGTTGTTATCCAGACGGGCCCGAGGCCTGGAAGCACCTTCCTCGTCCTCCCCGTTTTGCTCTGGACTCGCTCAGGCTCTCGATCGTAGTCAGACTCGCTCGTGTTCAGACTCAATCATACCCAGACTCCCGTACTCAGACTCACTCACCCTCAGACTGAGACCCACTCACACTCAGACTCGCATCCCCCGATATTCACTTACGCTACTCAGAATCAGGCTCAGTTCCACTACTCCTACGATGGTTTCTCATACTCATACTCGTGCTGAGACTCAGTCGCATTCATTTCCGAGCAGATTAGGAGGATCTTTCGAGCGAAGGGCTGGTTTCAGCCCCCCCAAAGGGGGAATCGCCTGGGTGTTTTTACGGGCCCGTTCGCGGCCGAGTAGGGATGTCTCCAGTGATTTCTCTGTTTGCTTGCCTGGACGCTTCTACTTTAAGAGCAGATCGTGTGATGATGTCTCGAACTCAGCGCTGGCAGGAGGAGGAAGAGGAGGAGGAGGAGGAGGAGGAGGAGGAGGAGGAGGAGGAGGAGGAGGAGGAGTGGAGGGAGGAGGGAGGAGGAGGAGGAGGAGGAGGAGGAGGAGGTGAGGGGGGGATGAGGGATGAGGAGGAGGGAGGCAGAAGGAGAGGAGGGAGGAGGAGGAGGGGGAGGGAGGAGGGAGGAGGGAGGAGGAGGAGGAGGAGGAGAGGAGGAGGAGGAGGAGGAGGAGGAGGAGGAGGAGGAGGAGGAGGGAGGGGGGAGGAGAGGAACGAAGATGGAAGAGGATGGAAGAGCAGGAGGAAGGAGGGGCAGGGGTGGGGAAGGAGAGAGGAGGATGACGAAGGAGCAGGCTGCTATTGGGCACTCCGACTAAGACACACAGACGCTCATTGACAAAGGCCCACCGCCAGGTTATCAGCGACACGAGATGCGCATGGGAATTTCCTCGTCGAGCAATGCTTGCTTAGCCTTTTGGGTGCTGTGGGGCGCCCTCCTAATCATAGTCTGCTTCCGCTTTCTGCCCAGGGCGTAGCTCTCGGGTGGTTCCGGAGCCCGGCTTTCGGCCTCCTCGCCGCCAGGGCGCGGAGGTGTTCTTTTCACCCCCTCCCCTCCGCAGCAGGGCGCCCGACCCGGAAGGGAGGAGGGAGTGGGAGAAGGGAGGGAGGGAGGGAAGGAGCGAGGAGGAGGGTGAGGGACCACTGTTTGAGGGACCGCTGTTTACGTCTCATGCGGTCATGCGTCATGCCGCCGAGACGAGGAGGTGATACTGGGCATCAAGAGGGCTCGTCGCCTGGTGACTCGCTACCCCGCCGTCGGCCATGGTTCACCCGACTCTGCGGGGGCTGCGCTGGCATGGTTCACCTGCTTACGGTTTCAAACCGTATGCTCAATGAGCAGCAGTGCCAGCTTGGGGTAACAACCGACGGGCGAGTGCAAGGGGTCCGCGCTGGCACCGGGTGAGATAACTGATCTCGCACCCGAGGATCCCCGCCCGGGAGTGTGCGCGAAACCCCATGGGGTTCACGTGTCACACGGCACCGCCACTCCCGGAAATGCACGATCGCTGCTGCAGCTGACACCACGGCAGTGGGCCAAGGCTCAGACCACACTGACCAGGATGCAGGGAAGCCAGACCCGTCCTTGTCCTGAAGAGAGACGGCCGCCTTCCCGTTCCCGCATCACCGTTCTTGGTACCTGTGAGTGCGCTCCACAGCAAGCGTGGCACTGACACCATGAGAGCAGGTGCCGGGCCCCCGCCCGGGGCGGAGGAGGCTCAAGGAGGATCCCGCTCGGCCGCTGAACGTGCGGTGTTGCTATCGGGGCAGATCGCCGATCCATCGGCGATGCATCGCCGATTCCAGGCCGATGTCTCCCCCCCTGAGCGGGTCCCCCTCTGTCGCTTCCCCCTCAGGGAGGGTGGCGGAGGGAAAGGCCTCTCGTGGGCCTTTCGTCGGTCGTGGTGGACGGGCCGCCTCGCCGCCCTCCTCTCTCTCTGCACCGCGCCCGCTCGGAGCGCGTGGGGCGTGGCGGTCTCGGCGGCGGCGGAGGCTGGAGGGTGGCCGCTCGCCTCTGGGCGCGGCGGCGGCCGCGGGCCAGGGCGGGCGGCGGCTCCGCCAGCGGGGCGAGGCTGCAGCGGGCCCGCGGGGGCGGCGGCTCCGCCAGCAGGGGCCCTGCGACCTCGTCCTCCCCGCAGACGACCATGGGCGCCGTCTCGTCCGGCAGCCGCCTGAGCACGCGCATCTCGGTCAGCCTGTGCTCGGACTTGGCCCTTCTCGCTGGCGGCCTTCTGCCTCCTGGAGTCCTGGCGCGCTCGCGCTCCGACTGCAGGAGCTGTCGCGCCACGTCCTCGGCCGCTGGCTTCTTCTCTGCGGCTTGGCTCTGCGTCGTTGTCACTGCCACCTCCTCTGCCCCTGCCTTGCCGGCTTGGGACGCCTGGAGCAGCATGGTGATTTTCTGTTCGGTCGTAAGCTGCATGGTCATCACCTCGTCCCCGTGCCGCTCGTGGTTCTTGTCCTACTCGTTGACCGTCTTTCCCGCGTCACCTTCTTTCTTGAGTTTCTGCCAGTCTTCGGCGTCTGCGAGCTTCGTCCAGACCTTCAGCTGGTATCTCCTGGAGTCGCAGGTCGACTTTCTCCTGCACTCTTTCTGCAGCTTGTCCGACACCAGTTCAGTCGCCGAGCTGGCACATAGCGTGCAGAACCATCTTCTTTGCTTTTCCCAGCCAGCGCAGCGGGTTCGTCGGGTGCGAGTCGACGCCTTGGGACACGATGCCCGTCCCTGCCTCAGGTGGTGGACCGCCGCGCTGCTGGCCGCACCACTCCCGCATGCTGATGCGCGCCGTGGCCTCGGAGATCGACTGGTTGCAGCACCTGCGCCTCCATCCTCGTCCTCGCCTCGGTCTCACCAGGTTCCGTGCCGTGGGCGGCCTTCTCTTCTCGCCGCTGCTCGGGAAGCCCGCGCTCGGCGCTCTCTCTGTGCTCGGCGTGCTCGTGCTCCTCTTTGTGCTCGGCGTGCTCGTACTTCCCGCGCTCTCGCTGCCTTGAAGGTCTCGGTGCTCCGTCGGCCCCCTCGCGATGGCGGTCCCGCGCGCAGGCCGCGATATCCCTGCCCTCTCACCGTGCTAGCCGTGGCCCTCGCCCGCTCCTGGCAGCCCAGCGTGGTCCTCGGGGCTGGCGTGCTGCCGCGCGCCCGCGTCTGCCGGGCGGTGTCTGCCGTCTCCCGGCCTGCCCGGGCTTCTCCGGGTGCTCCTCTCTGCGTCCGCTCTGTCCTCGCGCGCCTGGTCTCGCCCTCCTCCCCGTTGCCGCAGTGCCTCCTCGCCCCTGGGTCAGAGGTCGCAGTTGGCGCCAGCCTTTTCACGATCTGATCTTCCTCTCGCCTCGCGTTCCAGCCGAGGCGTGACCTCGCTGTGCGTTCAGTAGTGCAGCTCCCCGCCGGTGGCCTCCAAGCAGTCGATGAAGGCCCACAGCTCCGCTCTCTTGTTGCTCTGCCGCGCTCCTGGCAGCGGCCCAGACTTTGCTGCCTTCACCTCAAGCTTCGCACTCTTCCCTGCGTGTCCAGGATTGCCCATCCCCAGCCGCACCTCCTGCAGCGGTCGTCGTTGCTGCACTCGCCTCCTGAGCCGTCTCCGCTTGTGGTCAGCGCGGAGCCCTCTGGGGCTCGGAGTCGGCCTTTCTGCGCGCACAGCCCGATCAGGGATGCCTGCTCGGTGGTCTCGCATGTCGGTGGTACTGTCCAGGCTTTAGGCGTGAGCCCTCTCAGCCAGAACGCTGGCACATCCTCTACTCCTCGCTCGGTCCTTGTCACGAGCCCCTTCGTCCTGTCCAGGATGTCTTGGTTCCTCCTCGCCGTGCAGTTGCCCCAGATGGAAGTCGTCCTCCTCCTGGCCGCACTCGCAGACGCCGTCGCACCCTCCGAACTTCTGTCGCCTGCGCGCCTTGGTCCACGTCCCTGCGCTGGCAGCTGCCAGGAGCGAACCGACGGCCCGGTGCTTCCCCCGCTTCCCGAGGGACTCCAGGTGTCCGACCAAGTCCGTGGTGCTCTCACTCCTGCCTCGGCGCCCTCGTCGGTGCGGTGCTGCGCCGCTGGCTCCCGCAGCTGCCTCTGCAGCTCCGCCGGCGAGCAGCTCCGAGCGAGCCCACCCCACGCCCCAGCCAGCCCCAGCGGGTGGCGGCGACGCGCGAGGCATGCGGCGGTGGACCAGAGCGAGCCCGCGGCGCGACGCGCGAAGCAAACCCTCCGGCCCGGGGCTCGTGGACGCGGTCAGCACCAGGACCTGCCCAGCGGGCCGCTCTGACCAGAACTTCGGCGGCAGGGGCCACGGCGGCCAGCGGCCTCCCGGCAGGCGCGGCAGCGGGCGAGGAGCACCCACCGGACCTCGGAGCTCGAGCCCTGACGGGGCCGCTCGCGCGTTTGGGGGCCTCGAGCGGTGCGGGGGCGGCGCGTCGCGGGGGCCTCGGAATCCCGAGGGACCTCACTGCACGAGCAGTCGCCGCACGAGCTTGGGACCCTGGAGGGCCAGGGCCGCCCGAGGCATCCTCGTGGGAGAGCTGCCCGGGCTCCAGAATCGTGCGGCGGCCACCCCGGATCCCACGGCGTGGTCGCCGCACCTCTTGGGTGCCC